ACCCAACAAACATGCGTCCCCATGGCTTAGGTGAAGACGACACCAAAGCGTATCGACAATCTGAACCTCTGGGTCATCGATGAAATCAATGTGTAGTTCGCTGCGATAATAAAGTAGTACTCCACCTCCTCTACTTGGTCGATCGTTGCGTAGAATAGACATCCGAGGTAGTGCGATTTCTGCATCAGTGACCACTTCATTCAACCAGGTCTCGGTTCTCATAAAGAGGTCTCTTGACATCGAGGCCTGACGCAGGCAAGGCTCTGTCAGTTTGCTTAAAAGACCTTGTGCTTTGGTATAAAAACAGAAGAGTGATTCATAGGTTAGAGCTGGTGTGTAGCAAATCCTCCGGTCTCCCATTCACAATCCAAAATCCTCTGAAAGGCACTCAGGAACGATGAAATGGCATATCCCTAATATGTATCAACTTTCCAAAGGCAACATCAGACCCACTGAAAGCAAGGCAGATGGACGATCTGAGCCAATGGAACAAAATTAGCAACCTGCTCGTTGTTCCGACTAAATCCACCAACCTGACGAGGATCACCCGTGACCTGAATTCCGGGCACGTTGGTGAAGCCAGGCTTTTTCGGGTTGTGCTAAACTCTATCGGTGAGGCAAAAGTCGTCCTACTTTTGACAGTTCATCTCGAGAACAGATCGTATTTGGTACTTGTCCTTCCATACGTTCCATGAGGCGCGCGGAAACGGCTGAAGCAAAGCCATGAAACGTACCGCGTGGATACCCCAGCTAGAATCGTTTTGGTCCATAATGTCTCCCAGTCTCATGAGTACGATGAACGCGAAGCAGGGGCTCACGACCAGGAGTAGTGACGCCACATTCGAGAGAACATGCTATTGGATGACGTAGCTCCTTCTTTCCGAGCTTCTAACATCAACATACTACGATGAGTGTAGCCTAAGAATAATGAAGGTTGTGCTCCAAACTGGACGCATGGCACTTAAGCTACTGGAATGATGTCAGCTGCTTCGGAACAGGCTGCAACCTGAGCTCTAGTTCAAAGCAGAGAGCGAAACTGTCGCCCGATTTAAAAAGGCACCTCACCTCCTTTGAACTACACACTGATATCAGGTATAAAATGAAGTAAGAATCATCCTATACCATACTGCAATCATACTATACGCACTGTGTAAAATGAGTTGCCAGATGCGCTTATTAAAATGCCCCCGAACTTTACTCCAGGTGACCTAACGATAATGCCACCAAAAACACTGCTGGTGGCCGACAATACAACGGTTGGCACAATCTCTTATCCGAACAACATATCTTTCAGCGCTTTGCTGAGATTTGAACAAATGTCCAAGACCTCCTCATCAAACTTGTCGAGCATCGGCTGCGTCAGACAACAAACGCTTGGGGCCTCATCTCCATAATCAAGACTTGGTTACGCATGCACCGACCAAGCCACCTCATTGTGCCACCAGAAGACAATTCTTTCGACACGTTTTGATGAGGTGATGAAGAATCAGTGTCTGTTTGGTAACACGAATAATATCTAGTGGATCAATAGAAAAACTACTATCACAAGATGAAGAAACTATTATTGTGCGAAACAACATGCGACCTCATTCTTCAAAGAGAACACCTGGCAACACATGTTTAACGCCCTTCAAAATGCAGAAAGTGAGAACAAATGGATTCGTCCTTTTTCCTCTGAAAATATGACAGGGAAGTTTGTATGCTACCGATGCAATGATCAACACACCTCACCCAACCAGTGTCTTCACATACGTACAAAGTGTAGGAGGTGCGGCAACGTTGGTCGTTTGGCCGATATGGGCCGTTCCCTATCGTCACAAGCTTTAATTAAATTTTTGAACAAACGAAAGGTTAGTGTCGTGATTCAAATTTAAATTATGTGAACCATGCAATTGCAAGCTGCTCAAAGGTGCTCAGGTCATCTCCGCATAGGATAATGTTTTGTGTTATTTGTCAACCTGTTATTTTGAATTAGATACAGGTTCAGCAGTGACAATGATAAACAAGCACAAATTCATCATTACCCAAACGGGAACGTAGTGAAACTGTTATCAAAACGTATACAGAGGAGGTGACAGATCTACTGCAAAAATGTGAGGTGCGAGTTCCACATCAGGATTGACGACGTATTCTACCATTTCGTGCTGTGTCTCAGATGCATGCCAACTAAAAGGGTGTAGACTGCGTAGCGAAAAGGACACAAGGAAGGGCAGGACGTGTATTGCCGCAAGAACGTGCCACTGACAACGCAATAACCCGTACAGATTTGGACCGCGTTTCCTTCCCACGACGCAACGCGGATGAGGATTTGTGTGACGGCCGATTCTAGGTGCCTACGAGGTTGGGCTTCGAGACAAACTCTCCATATTTCCATCCCGTTCCTCCGCCTCGTTACATCCGATTTTGGTCAATCATGAGTCGTACGAAAGCTCAAGATATGTTAACCAGTGGCTGCATCAATCGATCGCGTTCACTACTGTGCGCTTCGCTAGCGGCGTATTTGCCTGATGCATTGCGTTCCCGACAAATACCTCCTCCATTGTCCTAGGCCCAGGCTCGTTACTAGATACCGCCTGTCATCCGCTGTCGGCTCGATCAGCAATGATCGCGGAGCTTTGTCTCTCCCCATCCACTGCAGCCGTTGGTAATTCTCTACAATCCCGTTTTTATTGTCGTTTCGGTTCACGAGTAGTCACTGGCTTTCGCCGACCTACACCCGCCCTTTTCGATGTTGTTCTTCCCTCTCCTACCATGGTCGCAGAAGGGCGGCGTTCACCCAGCGCTTCGTCCCTCCGCTATAGATTTTAAAGTTTGCTCCTTTCCGATCGAGTGTGGGGTGGGCGCTTTTCCAGCGTTCCCTGAACTTGTTCGCACCTGGCCCTTCATTATCTGGCCGATCGTTGTTCCGTACCTTGACTTGTTCAACCATCCTGAACGGCGTCCACTTGTGAGCTTAATTCCAGGCGTCGTAGTTCTTCTTATTGCGTGCTTGTCGGGCTTTGGTTCCTTTTCTAGCAATCGTTTGCCCTCGTGTGTGTGATGCGATGCCAGATATTTCCTCTCACTCGGTTTCGCTAAGGATGTTTCGCGCGCAATCCGTGGTTCACGGCCAAATTGTAATTCGAATGGCGAAACCTTGGTGGTCGACTGCATGCTGGTCCGGTACGCAAACAGAACTGAGACTGAGGCTGTATTTAAGAGCAAGTAGAAAGGTTTCTGTACAACTCTATCGAATTACGAAAAATCAAAATTTACTTGTGAATTATCAGCAGTTGTGTCTGGTCAGT